ATAGCATGTTTAAATTGTAAGTTGTCTGAAGTCCTTACCACCAGCTGCTCTTGCAGTAATAAGTAGTGTACAGGGCTCGACATTAACGACTGCCCGACTGCCCGGGGCCATCTAGTATTTAGCTCGGGCAATGAAGCCTCACCTGCTGGTTGCCCGATCGGGCAATCTATTATGCCAGTATCATGCAGCTCGCGGATCCAGTAATGAGTGACCCGACAGTAAAACTAAACATATCTATAACTAGTTTAGGTAGTTTGAGAGGTAATTAAAATAGCTACGTGTGATATTCTAACCTGAAGTGTGTTTTGTCCGCTCACCGCTGCATGTGGACTCGTCAGCAGCAGCTGATCTCTCTCTCCCGTCAGATTAGACTTCACTCGCGTTTATGTCCATATCGATCAGATCCAGCTAGTTCTAGCTAATGATATGACTACCTGCTTATTAAAAGACACCGAAACAATAAGTGTCGCTATGCAACTGGGTGAGGCCACAAAGTATAGCGCAGCATTATGCATTTGTTTACATGCCCACCGGAACCCCGAGGCATTACCAACAGATCAACGCACAATCAACCCATACAGGACATCTCTTTCTCCACATTAACTGTTAGACATTAGAATTGACTATTCTTGTCTGTCACATAAGTGGCGCAACTGAAGCGGTATTGCGCTAAAGGGAAATTATTATTATTATTTTGACCGAAGAGATTTAGATTTGCCGGCTAACGGGAACTCTGACGTCACCATTTTGTGTGCTTCGCGGATGCGCTCGGCTCCTCTCGACTGCTGCTCGGTCAGCTTCCGGATGAGGAGGCATTCGTTCGACCAACTTACAGTAGATAACATTACAAACATTTTTAACAGGGGCCATAATAGTGTAAATAATGTTTGTTTTGGCTGTTTTAACTGAATGTAATGTTTTCTACTTTTTTACATTAGGGAAGGCATTTGCCTTCATCAGATTTAAGTAGCTATAAGTATTTCTTATAGCTTTGCAGCCGGGCATGCAAGCGAGCAAACACAAACAAGAACAAACAAACAAGTGAAATTAAGAATAAAATTGAAATTGTACAATATAATATTGTGGTGGTTCATCTTATAATTCAGTCTAGAGAATTCACCAGACAGCATCTAGAACCTGCAAAAATCTAAATTTTCTAGGGGGAGGCCCCTCAAACCCTTCGTGCATTTCGTCTGCGCGTATTTTTCAAGGCAATCTCTATTGGGCTCAGGGCCATCTGTAAATTAGCTTAGATGGCCCACAGGGCCATCTCCCCAAATCCTTAATGTCATGCACTGGTGTACCTTTCTTACTGTCCTAATGTGCACAATGTAGTGACTGCTTTTCGTCTTTTTTTTCGTAGTTACGTTCTCTGTATTTTATATGTTTGTGTAAATGTATTATGTGTAACGTTGCTGCCTTCTTGGCCAGGTCAGCATTGCAAATGAGATTTTATCTCCATGCTTTTTATCTGGTTAAATAAAGGTTAAATAAACGGGTGGCGTAGTGGTCTAGTGCGTTGGTGTTCGGATCAGGGGGGGCACAGGTTCAAACCCCACTGCAGTCCGCATGTCGTTGTGTCCCTGGGCAAGATACTTCACCCCAAATTGCTCCTGTGGGGATTGCCCACAGTATTGAGTATGTAAGTCGCTTTGGATAAAAGCGTCTAACAAGTAACATGTAATTTAATGTAAATAAAAAAACAAGGGCTGGATAATGAGGTTATCAAGAAAAGAAAGGAAAGGAACAACTACTTTCATGATTAATTTGCTCAATACTAAAATTAATTAAGTATTTGAAATCCAGAAGACAATGCTGTGAGATATTTGTTCATGTCTAACTCTCTTTCTTTTGGTACATGAGCTCACGTTCATCCTCCCTCTTGCTCCTTCAGGTGCCTGCGAACACAGACAGCGTGATGTGTTTCGGGCCCCTCGTTCCTGACGGTTATGCCATTTGCTACAACCCTCAAGCAGACCACGTACACTTCTCCATCACCGCCTTCAACTGCTGTGAGGAAACACATGCGGAAACATTGGCTCTCACCCTGAAGGACACTCTGTGTCAGCTACAGGAGCTACTGCAGCCTACCGTGTAGAGCTGCTCCTGTTCCCCAACCTCTCTAACCTGGGAAAATAAAGAAAATGTTATTATCAATGGTTTTGTCTTCATACGGCTTGTTTTGAATGTTATCTTGTACATGTAATGCTTCACTAGATCGGTTAAATCTGAGCTAATTTTGAAGGCAGAAAACTGTCTCTGAGGTGCTTTTGATGCTTTTTTAATGCTTTTTTCATGAAGCAATAAATCACTTATCTTTTCTTTTCTTGCAAGAGCTGACCAAGCAGCCTACATTATGCTCTCCAGCAAAAGCACTTAAAGGGCATCTAATGCTCCATTATGTGAAACCAAAACAAAGTCAACCTGACACTCAGTCATTGATCAGAACAAGCCAAAACGTGTCTGTAGAAACTGACTGCACTCCCAAGTCATGGGATGACCTGTAGGCTTTCTAGTACCCTCTATTGTGAATAAATATGTTCCAGCTGTTGCACATCAGCTTTAATATATACATGTTTTTGGAAACCCTTTATTGTCTTGTTAACCTTTCTGTTTGAAATGGACCAAAAGCCAGAAATTACTTTATGCTGAAATGAATGTAAAGAGGCTTTGGCACTCCTCCTCGCTACGACCTATTGTTCTACTCTCAACCTGCAGGACTGGTTAATAAAGCCTGTGATCACATGGTTTTGCATTTTTAATGATTTGTGTGAATGTGTGTGAGAGAGTGAGAGTACAGTGATTGGCAAAGGTGCAGCTGTGTTTGTTTCAAAAGTCTGCTTGTCGTACTGGTGCGACTTCTCAGGCCGCTGACCCGCTGAGATAGGGAACAAGCAACACCGATTTGATGTGCTGTTTCAATAATCCTGTTCTACTTTGGACATTAAAGTTCATTTCAAATTAAGAAAATATTAGGGAAATCCAGTAGGCCTACATGAATTGTACATGTGCAAAGGAGACAACAATGATGTGGGATTTGCAGTAAACAGAAATGTGAGAACCAACACTCATCCGTTTCTTGTTCTGCTATGCAAGTGAACAGTATTATTACAACATTATTAAAGAAAGATACATATTTGTGATGTAAAATGAATATCTGAACAACGACATTTATCATTTTTCATTTAAAACAAATTGTTTACCTTTTTAGTAACATACTGTAGGGGAGTGTTATGTGCCCACGCTGCTGATTGGACGAGCCGAAACCGGAAATGACGTTACAGCCGCTGCATCACGTTTAATTTAAACCGGAACAAACAAAAGGAACCAAAGCAAAGCGCTGCAGCTGTTTTTCTTTTATTAAGTAAGCAATATACAACTAGTGTAAAACAGAGTATTCAAGGGATTGATGAGCGACATTTTAGCTCTTTTTTTTACCGCAGCTTGGGCAAAAAATGGAAATGAAGATGATAGCAAAACACTAGCAAAAACATCAAGATTTTATGTTTTTATTTACATTTGAAAGTAATCTCTTTTATTTTTAACACGATTTAAGCGGGTTTTTTAAAAATAGTTCTGGGATAAAATGAAGGACTCCCTTCTCGCTTTGTCAAGCCGAAGTGTGAGGAGGATCAGCGGGGCGGCCGGGCTGCTCTACCCGCTGCTCGGTGCCTATCTCTGGGCTGCAGCGGTCGGGTACAAGCCGGTGATCATCGTGCACGGTTTATTCGACAGCTCAGGGGATTTTAAAGACTTACAGCGGTTCATAAACGAGGTAAGTGGTCCCAATGAACAGTGAGGCGCTACATTTGCCTCCTATTTAGCTATTTTTAGTATATTTATACTTTATAACATGAATGGTACATTTTGTTTTTTCAGGGGTTGACCTTATACTTTATATACTCCAGGCCTTGTTATATCACTGCCTTATCAGTACAACGTGTAGGCCTACCTAAAACATGAAATCTTATGTAACATTGATCAGTTTTTATAATAAGAGTAGAATATAATATATTGCAATATTCTAATTGCAATAACACGGGAAATTGAGTGATCAGTAGGCTACTGTAATAAAGGTTTGATGCACTGAAATGTATTATTATAGAGGTACATTTGCTATTTCTGTTTAATATGACGATATTACCTGTAGTTTGCACTGTACTAATTTGTACACACTGCATGTTAATGTGAAAAAATAAATAACTTTCTTGAGCTAATGTGCGCTGTTTGGATTATAAAATATGATGATTAGGCTAGTAGTCTATGTTGAGGAGGTTTATATTCAGTAAAGTCCGCGGTAATGAATGGACATTGATATAATGTGACCTGTCCAGCTGTTCTTGAAAATAATTATTTTATTATTTACACACCCACTTCTGAAACAAACGCACATTTTAAGATAGCGGTGGATGTGGTGCCATTTTAATTATGAAGGTTGATTAGGTTAAACCAAGATTAACTTCCTCTTTTTCACATCTGCTGTTAGACTGGAACCAGACTAAACATATTTCTGAAGGCAAAGAAAACGGAAATCAAGACCCTAGTTTGTCTGCTTCAGAAAGCCTGTACTGCCCAATGAATATTTAAAGCACATCCTTCCCATTTGGTATAGGCCTACCTCAGCATCCCTGTGGACCTTTTATAACAAATGGAGTTGAGTCATGTGATTGCCCCATTAGATACAATCAGATTATGTGAGAATGGCTATATTGCTTATATTAATTGATATCAAACTGAAGTTTACACAAATGTACCTTATGTTGCTTTTGGCCTTATTAACTAGTGATCCATTAATACGTCTATAAGTGCAGTTGTAGTTGTGAAATGTTCCTCTTCTTTCTCCTGCAGTCTCATCCTGGCACAAATGTTTCCGTCATCGACTTGTTTGACAGAAGTGCCAGCCTGCAGCCCATGTGGAAACAGGTGGAGGGATTCAAGGAAGCTATTCACCCAATAATGCAAAATGCAGAAGACGGGGTCCATTTTATCTGCTACTCTCAAGGTCTGTGAGTGCATGTCTGCAAATGAAATACAAGAACTTCAATGTGGTATTCTCTTAAAATGATAAAACAGTCTTTTTGCCAATCTTGCTATAAGTTTCCTCAGTGTATTTCACTCTTTTATTTAAAAGACGGGGCTTTACAAGGGATTTTTTCTCAACTCCTGAGATTTCACTTTCAGTCTGGAGTTGGAAATTCCCAACCTGCAGTGTGTTATTCAAACTGCCGAATGTTCCTGTTGGTAAAAACCTATATATACAGTCTATTTTAAAAACCAGGGGAATATATGTGAATGCCCATGACATTTCCTTTGCCCAACAGTGAATTACTCACGTGGAAATTATACAACCTGTTACCACAAATATTTATGTGAAGACGTTTCGATTTTTGAAACTGAAACATGAATATTAAAAAGAGTAGTGTGCAATCTTGATTAGATTAAAAATAAAACAACTAGTTAATGAATACATAATGTTTTACTTTGTCTTATCTGATAGTAAATGTAGCACCTTTTTGTCTGTTTGTTGGTCAAAACAAGGCACTCCGTTTTGTTTATTCAAGTACAACTTAAATACACATATTAAGAATAATATATATAAAAAAGTCATTAATTTTGAAATAGTAAGCCCAAAGGAAACTTATAATGAATAAAAGTGTAGACTGAAGTCGTAGCATATCATTATGTATAATTCATTTGTATGTACAATTCTCCTAAAAAATATATACTGGAAAAGAAAATATATAATCAAAAACATGATTTGTGTACATTAAATATCCAAAATGTGTAAACAAATGTTCATGTACAGACTTGTGTCATTTTCACAGGTGGGCTTATTTGCAGAGGGATCCTCTCGACTCTCAACGACCACAACGTCCAGTCTTTCATCTCTCTGTCCTCGCCGCAGGCCGGGCAGTATGGAGGTGAGTTCTACTTTTAAAGGCTGAACACATGATTATGTTTAAAGCAACTATAATCAATAGTTGTTACAACAATTCATCAAATGACAATGTGTAATCACAGTGAATCTGTGATTTTTAGAGGGGCAACACTCCTAATAAATATCCCCTGATGTTAGCTTCTCTCTCTGTTATAAACCCATTAGAGGGGATTTCAGCTCTTGTTTGAGTTTCACCATTTCTGTTCACTCTGAATGCTCATTGTGTTGTTTATGACTGCAGCAGCCAGCAAAGACATCTTTAACAACCCATGTTGGTTAGCTGGTGTAAATAGTGGAGCATTTAGCAGTTAAAGAGACAAATATTTCACTCAAAAGTTGGTAGAGTCAAACAAAAAAACACAGCTAAAAGAGAGAGAAGATTAGAAAATCAGCACGTCGTTGTACCTACTCAGAAGAGACTATGTTTCAATGTTATGTTGTTAACCTGTTACCGCCCCAAATTGGCAAAAAATCAGTTATTCCAGATTTAACATGTTAAGGACTGTTTGTTCCATAACTCGTTAAGCTTGTGTCTCATCACGCTCTTTGTCTCATCAGACACCGACTACTTGAGGTACCTCTTCCCACAGTTTGTGAAGTCCAACCTCTTTCACCTCTGCTACACATCGGTAGGTCAGAGGATCTCCATCTGCAACTACTGGAACGGTGATAATTATTTATATTCTGGATCTTGTCAAGCTCAGAAAAGGATATGAGATTAAGTGTAAGAAAGCTTCCTAAATAAGTGTTTTGACATCCTGGTTGTTTGTCCTCTTCCTCCAGACCCCCACCACAGAGACATGTATGTGAACAGCAGTGATTATTTGGCTCTGCTCAACAGCGAGCGATCAAATCCAAATTCAACAGGTCAGCAAATTCTTTGAGGGTAAAACTCATCCAAAAGTTGAATGAATGTAACCATCAGGGGATGTTGCTTTATTGTTATGATGCAACAGTAGGTTTGAGCTCATAGCTACAAAAAAGTAGACTGATGTTGTTGCTTGTCGGTAAATGTTTTTTAAACTTGCATTTTGTTTCAGTTAGTCTATCATTTGACAGTAAAAACTTTGACTATCCAGGTCTTCGAATTGTAATCCCTTTTTATTACATTTATTTATAATAAAAAAATCATTTATATATTTATAAGATATCATACACAGTACGTAGTAGAGTTAATGGCAGAGCTTACAGTATATACTGGATTGCTATATGTTGTGCAGCCATACATAACTAAGTGTACTAAAGTGTACCTCTCTATCTCAGAGTGGAAGAAGAACTTCCTGAAAATAAAAAAGCTGGTGCTGGTTGGAGGACCGGACGATGGAGTCATCACTCCCTGGCAGTCGAGGTGAGTTCGTCCTCTGTCGCTAACATTTTATAACAAATACTTTGACGCTTTTCATCTGCTTTATGATTTCATGTAATGCTCTTTCTTGCAGACAAAAATGTTTTACAGTATTCTCCAGTTATTGGTGGCAAAGTACACATAGTCAAGGAGTCATTCTTAGCCATTTCAAAGTTTTATATTGAAAGTTTGGGTGTCATTTTTTGCATTAAAATGCTTTAACATTACTTAGCACATACACTTAAGGCGCCCAGTAACAGTAACTTCACCCCAGTGCAGAGTATCATTGATACCCTTTATGAAAGCCTTGTTGTTGCTTCACCAAATCCTTTTTTCCCGTTGTCCTATGACATGTTTCACGCTCACTTCACACGTCTCTGCTTTGAAAATGTTGCTTTTTCTTGACTGTGGCTGATCAGATGACTCTCATGTGATGCTCACACTTTATCTTTTCTCTCTCTCTGTCCCTCATGGACTTTAGTCAGTTTGGATTTTTTGACGACAACGACACGGTCATTGAGATGCAGCACCAGGATGTGAGTGAAAGAATCATTCCACAGAAACACATTAACAACAAACTTTATTTGATTGTATTGCCCCCATACTTGCCAACCCTCCCGATTTTCGCGGGAGACTCCCGATTTCATTGCCCTCTCCCGGTTTCCTCCCGGGGTCATATTTATCCCGCATTTCTCCCGATTTCTGACAAAATCAGATTTACTCTGCTGTTTCCACTCGAACTTTACAGTTACACCATTGTTTGGTTTCCATGGTAACGCATCTCTTTAGCGTGCAACTGAAAGTCTGAGAGGGTGAGGAAGATAGTCACAGAAAACAGAACAAGAATCGACAACTCTACCCTCTGCTCACTCCTTTCCTGTAAAATACAGGTCCAGCCCACACATAGCCTATGCTCCATCAAGGATGGTGCTACAGGCCGCAAGGCAGTGCACTTACAACTACAATAAGCATGTTAACTTAATGTTAATCTAACAGCTCCGGCAATCCATTTTGCATTTTGAAATGCTCCCGATTTCTGAGGTCTCAAGGTTGGCAAGTATGATTGCCCCTTGTGAACATTACTAATACCCTAACATTATTTTATATTGTTTCTATCCATATTTATTTATTGTGTCATGCACAAGCAAACATATAGGTCAAAGATATCTAAAAAACAAATATTGACCTGACAAGCAGACACCATATATACATTTCCAACTAAATAACTTCTTTTATAGAAAGTTTCAAAGATTTTAAATTGTTCTCCAACCTAAATAAGCTGTTAGAAATAACAGACATTTTACAAAATAAATGCCTGAAATTTGCCATAAATCATATTGCTTGTTTTTTCCCTGTTTCAGATGTATTTAAGGGATGTTTTTGGTCTGAAGACGCTTGGGGCTCGTGGAGATCTGATCATCTGTTCTGTTCCCGGCGTGGAACACGTGTATTGGCATTCAAATGAGACTGTGTTCCACCTGTGCATGGAGAAGTGGCTGGTGTAAAACAAAACACTCACACACAGATACACACAAACAGAGATACACACCCTGCAGGTTCACACATGGTTGTGCATTTCCACCATGTGTGAAACTCTGCCTCTACTATAAACTATGAAGCATGTCATCTCAATTTTTGGATTACAGATTCAAGAAATTACTTCGTAATTGTAGTGTTTGCTGGCAAAGTTTGGACTATAGGTTCTGAACTATTTAAGTTACATAAAAGGGAATCTCCATTACTTTGCTTTCTTGCAGCGTATCAGATAAGAAGATTTATACCGCTCTCATGACCATAAGTCCTCGAAATCATTTAATGTTTGTGAATTTGAGGAGGTAAATAGGGGCCTTGTAAGTTTAGAAATTAAATTATTATTTTAACAGTAGTAAATCTTCCATCTGCACCCTGCACATGCTTATTGTTTCTCATGTAAACGACGTTGAGGAAGTACACCATTATTTAACCTTGATGTTTAAGAACGTGTGGGATTACTGGTACAGTATATGAAACTTCAGCCAGCTGCTTGGTTTTCATCAACATGTAAAACTACATATTTTAATTATTTCTTATTAACCGTTCTGCTGTCAAACAAATCCAGCATTTCCATGTATGCTAAAGGTATTTTCTCAGAAAATAAAAAGGCCCAAACTTTAAGAAGCAACCAATAGGAAGGCTCCTATAAACTTGGTAGAGGTTAAACTAGCCATTATGTTATTACACCCTGCAACAGTAAAGCAAATCAACATAAAAGAGGACTGCAGCAGTTTTGATTTGCATTTCAGAAGGGGACTTTCAGAAGGGTCATGTATCAATGCCGCAGATGAGACATTTGTACAGTTTTTACAGGCTCAGTAGTCCCTCATGACTGTAAAAAAACGGTGGAGTGCCCCTTTATTTAGAATAAATAAATACACAGAATATATCCATTTGTGTGTTTGATCACACATACCTCAAAACAACCCACAACTCAACAGTGCCTGATCGACGTTCTGTCATTGTGTCTACATGTACAGACTCACTGCCCTGCTCATCTTGTGATGCAGTAATTTATATATTTGTATTCCTCCATTTTATTTATGTGTAAATCTGACTGTAAATATCATGCTATCGTTATCATGCAGTGCTTTAGAGATTTCATAGATTAAGCCTTACCTTTTCCCCTCATGCCTCTGTGTTTTGTGTCCCATACCGAAGTGCTAAAACACACTGCCTTTAATGATGGTGCTTAGGATGAAGAGGGGTGGATGAAGAGTGGCCGGAGAGGGGCAGTGCTATATTAGTGTTTACTTGTCCACCAGACTATTGTCCATGGCGCTCTTTACCTATCATCCCATTTAGATATCTCAGGCATTTTACCTACATGTTTGTCTGTTTGTTGGAGAAGGGATTTCTATTAACCGTTTGCATTTTATTGGATGTTATGTATAAAATAGGTGTTGCTCAAAAGGAAAATATCAATGCAAAAATCGATTGTGTAATAGAACAAAAAGTGGATTTTATTGAGTAAAGTATTCATTGCACAAGGTTTAACCAGATAAAAAGAAGGGAATTGATTAACTGTTTTTAAGGTTGTTAGCTTTGCAGTATTATTTTGATGGCTGCATCCTTTGTGTCATCCCTGCTTGTACAAGTTAGTTAACCTAGCTGCATAAATTAAGTATTTAAGGGATGTCCTTTCTCTGGTCAAGTTTTATTGCTTTAAAAATGTAAATGTGGTTGTGGACAGTTTTTTTAACATTTAAACAGAAACTACTATTTTGACTCTGTCCTACAATTTCTACAGTATTTGGAAAATGTGTCCAATGTCAATTCCTCAATAAAAGGCAATTTGTAATGTCTCTTTTTGTTTTATTTTTTACAACAAGAAGTATTTGTCTAGTAAGTTCAGGAAACCCTAAAATATTTAAACCAGCACAAAACTGCTCCTAGTACTAGGATGGGTTAAATGCAGAGGTCAAATGTCACTGTGTGTGCTGTGTGCATGTATGTGTGACCATTAAAGAGGGGTCATCCTCCAATTCTATCTATATTCTTAATTTAATTATTAAATCAAATATCAATATATTTATTTGATTTTTAAAGCCAAACTATGTATATCTGCTTATGTACTTTTTAGGTGTGACAAAGTATCAACCTACTTTGTAGAATATATTTATTTGGATGAATGGAAGAGTGAACAGATTAAAGCAAATAAATACATCACTAATTTTCTTGAAAAAAAATCACTTTATATTTTCAATATATGCAAAACACAAAAAAGGACAACATACATTTGAGAACATGAAACAAACCAAAACTTTTTTTTCTTTCCATCCTCATTTGCATGACATTGTTTTCACGTGTTATGAGTCAAATGGACTATCGACCTGTGCAATGTCAGCTTAAACATGTTATCAACTTATTTTTATTCTTAACAAGTAGGCTTGTAGCCCTGTTGTTAGTTACTTTCTTAGAAACAAAAAAATACAATTCCCTGCATGCTCTGCGCACCGGAAGTAACCCGCAATTTCACCGGATATCTGCAAGCGCCGCCTGGAAAAGGCCCTTTTCCGTCTCTGAGAAGTGTGGTACAGAACGGCAGACACAAGTGAGTAAAGAATTCATATTTCTCTCCTTCCATAAATCTTTAAAAATAGTTTTCTCTGTTAAATAGACAAGATGCTTACTCCTGTTGTCCAAAAAATAAGAAATACACGTCAAAGTTTTGCCATTCTGATGTTTTATTTGCACTAAGAGTTTTGCTACGAGCACACAACGGTGAGCGTTAGCATGTGGCTAGCTTCTTAGCACATGTGGATGCGGCATGTTGATCAGCCACATCGATAGATCTCACATTCAGTACTCTATTTATATTAATTTAAAAACGTTACACATTATTCTTCAGTAGAAAATAGCACCCCTGTATATCCTTGTAAAATGACGCAATTTGTCAAATGTCCGCTAGCTTGTTAGCTGACGGCAAGCAACGTTACGTTAATTAAGGAGAACCAGGCTTCATCTCGGGCCCTGATGTGAAAATGTGGCTGTCCTTTTTAACAAGCTTCTTCCATTACACTCAATCACAACTTCACATTCGCGTATCATTGTTAAAGCTACATAGTAGTAGTTTATTTCGCTACGTATGTAACTCCGTGAAGGTAAACATTTAAACGGACAAAGCTTTGCAACGTAACGTTAGCGCTAGATCAATTTAATGTACACGGATGTAATGCAACAATAACATTTGTCTTTATAATGTGGTCAATATCAACCCTGCATGTTACCATTTGTGATTGGGAGCATATCCATGTTCCCAAGATGGATGTCCTATAACGATTAGAATTCCCCAGTCCTGTTTAAAATTTAATAGGTGAACACTAAGGTTCACAAATAGTTGTCTGAAGAGTAATGGGCTTTGGTTTAACTTTACAGCAAGAATTGACCACCGTCGTGTTTCTTTTTACCTTTTCCTTTAGTGACTGAGTGGGAAACTGCCCCAGCTGTGGCTGAGTCCCCAGAGATCAAACTCTTCGGCAAGTGGAGCACCGACGATGTCCAGATCAATGACATCTCCCTGCAGGTATACAGTGAAGTGAAAGTAGCCGTTGTATAAAAACATATGATAAGGCAACTAAAATTGTTTCAATATTAGCAATTTATCGAAAGCTATATGATTGTTAAAGCGAGGCTAGAGTCACGCCTGGATAAACCCGTTGTCCTGGTGTGCTAGAGTGCTCGTAGAGGAAATTGTCTTTGCTTATTCATTGGCTGTAGTCTCTTGTGGCCCAGTCAATCACCAACTCAGACACACTAAGTCTTCATACATGCTGTACCTTAATAAAGCCTGGGTAAGATCTGCACAGACCATGTTTAAATCGCCTCCTTTTTTACTACAGGATTACATTGCTGTGAAAGAGAAGTATGCCAAGTACCTGCCTCACTCTGGAGGACGTTATGCGGCCAAACGTTTCCGTAAGGCCCAGTGCCCCATTGTGGAGCGTCTGACCAACTCCATGATGATGCATGGCCGCAACAACGGCAAGAAACTGATGACATGTCGCATCGTCAAGCACGCCTTCGAGATCATCCACCTGCTGACAGGAGAGGTATGCATGTAGTGTGCAGCATAATTATGGCCGATTTAAACTAATATTTGGGAGGCGGCAATAGAGCAACTGGTGAACAGTGATGCTAGTTTAAAGTCTCCACAGATTGAATTGGTTGTCCAACTCCAACATCCCATCATGGCAGATTTAAATAAATGTTTGCTGTAGAGGAACCTCAGATTATGTTTTACTTCATGCTGCATTTGCTGTAATTTTTTGTATTTTGTGCAAAAGCGAGGCTAGAGTCACGCCTGGATACACCCGTTGTCCCGGTGTGCTAGAGTGCTCGTAGAAGAAATATCTTTGCTTATTCATTGGCTGTAGTCTGTTGTGACCCAGTCAATCACCAACAAAGATACATTACACTACCGACCAGTGTTTAATTCGTCAGACAATGTTTCTCTTGTATCCCATATGGGCTGTTTAAAGGTGGAGTTACAGAATTTAAAGAAATAGTGTATTTTTATTTTTGCCTGACATCTGGTCTTCAGTTTGTATAGATGTAAACTAACCAGCCCTCTTCTCCTGATTTCAGGGTTCATCTAACTCCTACGCCATCAAGAAGAAGGACGAGTTGGAGAGAGTTGCCAAGTCCAACCGTTAACATGTTTTCTTTCTACCAAAACAAATAAATTTGAAGAAATTCCATTGATGTCACAAATCCTTTCTTTTATGCATTTCCACACTTGTTTCACTTATTGGACAGTGAAGTAAAAATAGACAGTTTTGTCAGTTTAATTTTATTGGCATCTCTACACACGCTACAAATGCATATTATTCAGCACAGTCAAACCTGGCTAAATGTATTTGTACCACGGGGGGGGCTTGGCAGGTCTTAAACAATGAATATAGGTTCCGCATTCAACCTCTTTACTGCTAAAAGTCAACATGTTAGACTTGTCGGTTATACATTTTATGCTGCTCGTTCAGGTAATTCTAAATTGTCAAAACAAGGTGTTGGAAAACTGAACTTTAGGCCTCATACATGCTGACAGGTCAAACACTCGTTCCAGTTTCATTAAATATGATCTGACGGCTCAGTGGACACACGTTGAATAGTTAAATAAGTTTTAGTGATTAAACCAGGGTGATGTGCTGGAAATCAGCTGACAGTGAATCAGTTAGCAGATGTTACATTTGGATCTCATACAAATACTGTGAGTCAGTGTTTTCCCCTAGAAATAAATAGACAAGAATGTTAGTCTGTGGAAAGTGTTTCTGTGACTTCGCTCCACAATGAACACGTGTAAAGCTAATGTACTGATGGTTAGTGTGTTTTCAGAAATAAGTGTGCTTTCTGTTGACGAGGAGGCAGAGCGAGGACAGAGACGCTCCCAGTTTGGAGGCCTCGCTGCAGGCAGTAGGCAGGAGGGTGTAGTCCTGGAGCTTCTGGAAGGCCTGCAGAGAGGAGGGAGGACACAACTTACTCATAGGACCGAGTGATTCGGGGAAGAAGTTGCTGGCTAGCGAGAGGGACCAGCTTAGGCTGGAGATTATCTTTTGCCCAAGCTTTAATTTAACTGCATTAAAAAAAGAAGCTCCTCAGCTGTACTCACAGAGGCGCTGTCAGGACATTCCTCTGCAGGCCGGTGGAGCAGGAAGTCATGTTTAGACGGCCCTTTGATGTAGATGCAGTTTGCTGCTGAGTCCTCTGGAACAGTCAGCACTTCATAATGGTGATCAGTCAGCTGTTCCATCATCTGGAGACAAACACACACTTATTATTACTATGTGCACCACCCTGACTGCTCCCAGCATTACACACAGGCTTCAGTGATGTTATTAATATGACCTCAGCAGTAAGGCTATACATTGAGTGTGCAGTTCACATAGGGACAGAAGAGGAAAACAGGGATGATATTGAATAGATGTTTAAGCTTGGACTTTCTGTGATCTTATTTAACTGCAAATAGTTACAAAATTAATGTTGGGATTTTGCTTGGAATTGTCCTTTTTCATATTAAGTTATGTTTTGTTACACCTTAAATTAATGTATTAGCCGCAGTGTTATTGAAACTGACCACATAACTAAGGTTAAAAGTAATATTTTTGGAAAATTCCCTTATACAACCGGAAAATAAAACCACTCAAACAATTCCTCATAAGACAATGTATGGGAATTTACTCGTCAACGCCAAATACACATGCACACATAAACACTTACCCGGAGTGTCTTCTTGGCCCCATCACTGTTGCTGATGATGATTGTGTTTGGCCCCCCCATAGAGCAGATGTTTCTCAGTCGGGCTCCACCACACACGGGGACAGTGGACACAGCAAAGTCCTGCTCAGATGGAAGTTGAAAGGTTAAGTTCAGATAATGTCCCTCTCAGTTAGACAACAAAAGAGACATGTTCTCTTATCTAGTGGGGGCACTTCTGTCTTAGCAGGAAAAGTACTTATACATCTTTACACAAAGCGGCCAGCTGTGTGATTCTGGAGCTTCCTGATCAGGATCAGAGGCAGTCGTGCAGTTGCTACCTCTTAGTCTATATAGTCCTTTAGTAGGGCTTAATGCACTTGCATTTACTCAAGAGAAACATAGGCTACAAGGTGTTTTGATCAAATGTCTGTAAACATCTGCTTTTTGGAATATGAAGTGACAGGAGAGGGTGTTGAAGTCCTCAGTTGAAAAACCGCAAACACTCCGGGCGTCATGAATGTCTTAATCAAACTTTATGGTAATTCAGTCAATAGCTGAAGTGGACGACTAACAGACCAAAGATAATCGAATAAAGCTGTACTGTCACTACCACTTAGTGTTAATATCACAATAACAAATATGCAACAATACATATCTAAAAAGCACTTTCAAGTATTAAATGTTTGTTTTATGGAAATTGAACCGCATGAAAACGCTAGAGTAGAAATGTTAAATCAAAAAGCATTGAAGGTAAATACTCCATTCTGACCAGGAGTCTTACAACGTATGTTAATTTAAAAAAAGACACTCACACACATTCAACATGAATGCTAAGTGTGTGTGTGTTTTTAGGAGGAGCAGAAGTAATGCACTTAAGAGAAGTGGAGGATCAATATTAACGGGAGGGTTCTGTAAAGCATTAGGGGCTTGATTGTGTGGTCATTATTTGGCCAATGGAACAACGTCATTCATCACAGTTTATAGACCTTTAATCCCCAAACACAACGCAGCAAACGGCCCACCTGCTCACTCTGGCAGCTGGATTCAGTGTTTGGAGTGTTTTTTGTTTGTTTTACTAAACACCCTTTATTACCACAGTCTATGAAAACATACCCTCTGTTGCTTCACGTAGAGATGCAGTCCTTACTACATACGCTCCACTTACCCTGAAAGTGTCTGCCAGCACCTCCGCCCCTCTGTGGTTGGTGTGTGAGGAGATGCCGACAAAGAACTCCCTCCCTGTGAAGAGGACGTCGCTGCCCTCCAGCGTCGCCCCTCCAGAGTCCCCCTCCTCGGCCCCCATCTCCACCACGGTCAGGTTCAGCTCTGACACCACCTTCCTCACCGCCTCCGCCTGGAGAGATGAAGAGGAAAGAGAAATGTTCAGGCTCAACATTTGACTATGTTTTTCTGGATCAACATAAGTTCCCACGTTTCCTTGAAAACATTTGTACTATTCATCTATTTAATACACTCTAAAAATACTTAAATGCCTAACAAGTTCCAAAGAACAGTACACTAAAGGAACCATTTCTTAATATATTGCCTTGAAAAAAACGATGCAATTCACTACATTGTGTTATAATTGTTACAGTATTATCATAATGTTAGAATAACAGAGGTTTGTCGGGGTATAGCCTATAGAGGGTTAGATGCACAGGAACATTTCCTCATATCATTTGGTTATAATGCAGGTGGCTAATGGGAAATCTCTATTTAATCGACTATTGGGACGCAATTCAGGTCTTTAAGCTGAACTTGCTCAAATATTACAGAACTATAATCGGTGACAAAGTGACATCATTCTCTCTCATATTTATTGCCATTTTAGAAATGACAGATCCCGTTAATGAAGTGTTGACGGAATCTCTGACATCAAAGTTATAAGATAGTTTAGTTTGCCAAAATGAATTAACAAATGTATATGGTTATTTGACCATATTTTAATAATGCACCATTAAATACAACTACATGTCATGGTGAACAAGTGAAGTCTCTATAGTCTCCCTCTAGTCCCACACTGATATGACCTGTACAAATGGCCACTGCCGTTTATCCCACAAAGCAAGATTAAGTGCATTCGGAGAGGATTAGGGTGCAGACAGGGCTTGTTCTTCTCCACGTGTTACCTCGCTGCGTCTCTGCTGTTTGAAGGGCCTGGTGATGAGCGCAGTGTCTCCCTGGATGACGGCCACATCCTCTATCCTCCAGCTCTCTGGCAGCTCGGGGTCGGGGGGGATCTCGATCAGCTGCAGACCCACCTTCTGCCTCAGGGCTCCTGTCAGGCAGCCGAACTGACGCTGAGCCTTGGCCAGCTCCACCGAGGTCTCTCCATTCTTACGGCTGTCTCCCCCTGCCTTCCCAAAGGTCTCTGGGATGCCTCGCACCACGGCGTGGGTGAAGCGGCCATATGGGCACATGTTTGCCATGATTTAAATAAACTTAGAACTCTAAATATTTCCAGGAAGTTTGTTGCCAGAAGCCAAAGTTGTCACACTTTTCACCCCTTCTTCTGTACAAGTACTCCACCAGCTACTTCTCCATCTGTAGATGCCAGGAAGTGGAAACAGAGGATCCCAGCCTAACACAGACAGAGATGGAAATATTAACAAATGCAATGGAACAAGGGCCTTCTTTGGGAAATATTTCAAGGCTGCAAAAGTAAATATCTATAACACTATCCAATGATTCAAATGAAGTGTGGCAATAAAGAATTCATAATGAGAATGTGTGATTTTTAGTCTGTAAGAGGAGGACTCAGTATCACTGGTAAAACATTCAAGGGCAGCTGAAATAACAAACAGAGATACAACAGCTGAACATGGACAGGAGGAGCATTGTCCAAGGTTAGATTACAACAAAACTCTATGTAGTACCCCTGCAACATGCTGCTAAGCCTTTCCATGTTTGGGCAGGGGGTTGGATTTGGGACAATTGCCCTTTCATCATCTTCCCTGTAACTCACAGCAGGCGCCCACTGAGAGGCTGCACATGGGACTCCCACACAGGATGCTTCCTAAATCTGCATCATAACTTATGCAACAAGTGCTGGACTTGGATATGCATCTTATTTTGTAATAATAACAGCTTATGGAGTATATTATGAATACTTAATGGCAATGTTAGGCTATTCAATCCCCAAGAGGGCCTAAACTAAGGATATGTTAAACCTGTGTTAGTCTACCTACTATTGAGATTAGTGTTAGGCTACCTTGTGGAACAGTATTTTATTGATATGATTTGACGTATTTAGGAGACTACACTCATTTCTGTTTTGGTACTAAATAAAACCAATGTTTCTAACTACGCAGTTCTGAGTTATCCAGCTGCAAAATGAATATGGACCTCCTCAGCCCAGAAGAAAACATCTTGAGTGTTGCAGGACTGCACCGCCCAGCAGTTCACTGCTCCTTCTCAAATACTTCTGATGATGTTACACATCTTTTTAAAGGGCAAACTATCCACAACGCTCCCAGAAGTTGCACAAATAACAAACACATGTATA